CTCTTTACTCATATAATGACTCCCAAAAACATGCCATTGGAGAAGCCAGGATAGAACTAAAAAATTTTTGACAAAGGAATTTAAGTACAATTGCATGGATCCCCTCACACATTGGATTACTCCTTTATGTAAAAAATTGATATGTTAGCCAAGAAAGTACCCAGAAGGGGAAAAGTAGAAAATAACTTGGGATAACTTGCAGCATTAGGGAAAATATTAAGAGAAGCAAATAAGAAAAAAAGATTTTTATAGGAAAGCAGTTAGAAGCCTGAGTAATCTATAACCCACTAGATAACAAACGTAGTAAGTATGTTTTAGGGCAAGTTGCAATGTGAAAGACTGACGATGTTGTAGTGGGGCCCGGCTTTGGCTTGGGTTTCAAACTTCTGGGAGTTTGGGAACACACAGATGATGATCAAACTAAATGTAAATTATTATCAGGCATAGGCACTCTCTTTAACACTTGTCTTAATTTTCCACTTTTTGAGGAATACAGAGACAAACAGAAAATAACATAGTGACATGTCAAAAAATCTTTTTAATGAAAAAAAATACCAATATACTAACAAATTTCCCAAATTTGCTTGCAACGATAAGTGAACAAGATAGTAAATAAATCCAATTTTCCTGTTAAACCCTTTGGGGCCAGTTTCCAGGCCCTTTTGTGTATGAAGATTGAGACACTTTTGGATCCATATCTCTGCGCTACCTCCACAGGATGGATATGGGGTGCACAATAAATAGCCACTTTGGGGGCAAAATCAACTAAACTAATCCAATCACACGGGGAAAGTTGGGGGTTTTCTAAAAATAAACACCAAACCATCCCCTTTGGGTTTTTTAAAAAGCTGTCCCCCATACTACAAATACTAAAATATTTCCCAAAAGATTTCTCTCTCTCTCCTCTCCTCTCTCTCTCTCTCTCCCTTTTCTCCCCTCTCTCTCTCATCTCTCCTCTCTCTCTCCTTTTCTCCTCTCCTCCTCTCCTCTCCAAAGAATATGAATTAATACAAAAAAACATACACCATAAAATTTTCAAACCTTTAACACAGACGATAACATTTAGTTACGCTGCTGCTGGAGCGCTTTTTAAAATTGACGTACAATTTTTTACCCTTTATTGAGTATTTTTGGCCAACCTTAGTGAATAATGAGAACTTTTTTCCATGGACGTTAATATTTACCTGTTTACCCGAAAAATGCTTTTTTTATTCTTGAAAAAATAATATTGCCTCACAACCTTGACCAAAATTCGATTCCCAAAACTGACCGCATCATTTGTATGAAATTATATAAATATAAATATATATATATATATATATATATAAAAATAATAAATAAATTATAAATATAAAATATATATATAAATATTATATAATATATATATTATAAATATAAAATATATAAATATATTTTTATATATATATATATATATATATATATTTTAATATATATATATATAAAATAGCAAAACAACCACTTTTAAAAGAATAGAGAAATTCCAAGCCTTATTCACTAAAAATTTTTGGTTCCCCCTTACCATAAAACTTGGTTGATATCCTTCTCTTCTAAGACTTTAATATTTAAAGTTGTATCAAAAATCTTAACAGTAAAAAAACTTTTGGGTAAAGAATTCCCCCCAAAATGCGATGGATGTTCTATAAAATTTTCCCTTTTAAAATTTTGCTAAGTTTTTTTACGGTCAAACTGGTAAAATCTCGAACTAAGATTAAAACAACAAAATATAGCATTAGAATGGGCAAGATTTTCCCAAAGCCATTTATTCATGACGGAATTTTTAAACCATCCAATTGATTTCAAAAAATTGGAAAAATATATCAAGCAAGTCCTGGCACAGGAATAAATTAATCTTTTTTCATAAAAAGCAGTTTTGACAATATATGAACATTTTCCTTGGTTTTATAAAGTAATCCCTTTTTAATTAAAAGAAATTGGGAAAATTTAATAATACATTTGGGCAAAAAATAAATTTTTAAATTTCTTATTTTTTTTGGGGAGAATATTTTTTTGGTGGTTGTGTGGAAGGCCCCGTCAGTTCCCGCCCGGGGGGCCTGCTGTCCGCGTCAGGTGCTTCTTTGTTGGGGACTTAGTGAGGGGGGCCCACCCCTTTATATACCTCCTTTGTTGCTTTTCTTTTATTGTTCCTTGATAATGTGAGTAGTCACGAAAACGCTTTTAATTTTTCTATTCTTTTACAGTGGTTTTTTTTTTGCATATTCGAAATCACCTGTTTACTGTGATCTTTTTGCATAAATAAATTTTTAAATAAAAATTAATATATATATATATAATAAAATATAAATAATATTTAAATATATATATATATAAAAAACAACACTGACACTGGACTACCCCCCAGGAGCTAAAAATTTACGACGCTTTTAAACCCCCGGGGCCAAAAACTTGACCTTTTGCGAACTAGTCATCGCAACTTAAATTTGCTAGGCCAAGCTGTTTGTAATTTTATGGGCCAGTGGGTTAGAGTGTCGGAATTTTTTTCTTTCCAGAGGAGGGCTAAAAAAACACGGGTTTTGATCCTCCGCTAGTTTCAGTGTTTTTTTATGTGTGTTTTTAAATATAATAAAAATATATAAAAATATATATATATATATATATATTTTTTTTATAAAATATAAA